ATGTACTAGATCTACTAGAAGATACAGGCAAACTGGGGGTGAGACCAATTGACTCACCAATTGAACCTAACCATCATCTGGGAGACAGTCAGGGAGAGTTCTTGAAAGATGTGAAGAAGTTTCAGAGACTTGTAGGGAGACTCTTGTATTTGTCTATGACCAAGCTTGATATTGCTTATGCAGTGGGTGTCCTTAGTTAGTTCATGCACAACCCTAAGACAACTCACCTTGAAGCTGCAGAGAGGATCCTCAGATACCTCAAGAAGTTTCTTGGAGCTGGTTTGCTGTTCTAGAAACATGGACATTTAAAGGTGGAGGTATATACTGATGCTGATTGGGCAGGGGCAATTGATGACCGAAAGTCTACCAGTGGATATTGTGCCTTTGTAGGGGAAACCTAGTCACATGGAGAAGTAAGAAGCAAAGTGTGGTGGCTAGGTCTAGTGCTGAAGCAGAATACAGAGCTATGTCTCATGGAGTTGTTGAAATCATGTGGATAAGAAATCTGTTGGGAGAACTGGGTTTTACAGTTAGCAACCCTAGGTCACTCTATTGCGACAATAAGGCTGCTATCAACATTGCAGCTAATCCAGTCCTCCATGATAGGACGAAACACATTGAAGTGGACATGGATTTTATTAGAGAGAAACTTCTAAGTGGAGAAGTGTGCACCCCATATGTCAGCTCAGAAGAACAACTTGCAGACATCTTCACCAAAGGCCTTCATCATGTGCGGCATAATGGTTTGTGTGACAAGTTGGGCATGATTGACATCTATGCTCCAACTTGAGGGGGAGTGTTGAAAGTGTTAAAATAATTGATTTTATGTTTGTTAGGGTCTGTTTGGATGATTAAAGCCTTTTTATTTTAATCTATTATTGTACTATCACTTAGTAGGGGCACAAGGGTCATTTCCCTTCTTATTTTTTGCCCTATATATTATAATGAAGCTGGCGCTGCCAGCACTGTTCCATTGCCTCAACACTTCTTCCTTCTCTCCTCTTCTCTTCTCTTCTCTTCTCTTTGCTATTACCTTCAATCAGATTTACTGTCAAGATGGTGGATTTAAGGTTGAGGGGTCCAGAAGAAGAAGATGAGAGGGGGTGGAGTTTGGGTTGGGGGGCGGAAAGGAAGATTGTAAGGAAGAAGCTGAAGTTCGTTTGTTCATGTGAAAGCTAATGAAGTTGGAGATGCTATAGAGAGGGGTTTCAGTCGAACTGGTTGATGGCAGGAAGTCTACTAAGGACAAGAATCTTGTTCTTGCTACTTCTTCTTTTGAGGAAGTGCCGAAGTGGTAATCAGTGAATTAGGAGTTGTTCTGGCTCAAAGGAGGTTGGCTGGAGAAAGGTGAGCTTGAGGGAGTTGGGGTGGCTCCTAAGAAGTCTCATGCTTCCAGTAAGCTGCACATTGTTCATGTCACTAAGGTATTCTCGTGGTTGAAGCTAGGTTTGGTTCGAGCAGGTCCCACGAAGAACTTTAAGAAAGTCTATAAAAGAAAAGGGGTGAGGTCAAAAGCATCGATTTCAGTTAGTCTTGGTGGGGGAGAGTCTACTGCCACCCTTACCTTGGATTCACATTAGTTGGTTAATTTGCATAAGAAGAAGAAAAAGAATGTATCCATATTCCCTCTTGGGGAGCTAAGATATTTTATCTCCCCTTTTGTATCCATATTCCCTTTTTTCTTTTAATTTAATGAAGCTGGTGTTATTGATCAAAAAAAAAAGAAGAAAAAGAATGTGGATGAGGCCATGGGGGTGAAGTTGATTTGAGAATGGTAGATAAGATTCTAGAAGAAAAAGTGGTGAAGGAAGGTTGTTTGGAGCTTGAGAAGATTGGTGGGAAGAATGTTGAGATTGGTAAAAGACTTCGCTTTTTTTTTGTGGTGGTGAGGCATTTGCTAGAAGTGCAACTGAGGGGTTCGAGAAGAGAGAGAGTTTGACAAAAATTATTGTGGGTGAAGGAGGAAAGGTCTGTAATGAAGCAGATGATGGGTAGGTGGAGATATTTGAGGGGGAGGAGTAGAGGTGGCTCTTGCAAGGTGTCTTTGCTCTCTTGTTTTGCTGGATGTTTTTGTTGGTCTTTGGGGTTGGGGGTCTGGGGCTTGTTTGGTTGGTGGTTGCTGCTTGAGGAAGGTTTTCGTATCTGGTCTTGTTTAGAGTCTTGCTGTTGTTTGTTTCCAAGGTTTCTTCCTCCTTGGCGATAACTTGTCACCTGTGTCTTGTATTCTCTTTTTTCTTTTAATAAAATTTATTTTAGTATCACTGTAGAGAACACTGATGTGGGCCCCACAACTGTGGTCCCACTCTGTCCGTAGGGTAGAATGTGCCCTAGTCATCCTAGGGTTAGCTGGTGGTCAATCTGTTATTCCAGTTGTTATTTATATTTCAATTTTATATTGTTTTATGTGTTWTGTAAATACCAAGGGCAGATTTGTCCTTTCATGTAACTAGCATAACCTATAAATACTAAATAGAAGTGGCGGCGGCAGAAGATTCAGATTCTATCATTCCTTTCAATTCTTGTGTTCTACTGCTCTCTCTCTACTCTTTCTCCTCTCTCCTCTATACATTTTTCTCCTTTTTCGAACCTGAAATCTATTAGGGTTCAAGACTGATAGCAGCCTTGAACATCTACTATCACAAAATAATAAACATCTTTCTCTCTCTCTCTCTATATATATATGTGTGTGTGTGTGTGTGTGTGTGTGTGGGAGATGGGTTTGATTCATGAGCCTTTGCATGGGGGATGGGGTATGGGGACTAACAGATAAGAAAATCACTAGCTTTCAGAAGGAAACGGTGAACACCAGGAAATATAGGCTTGCAATATATTTTAGCTCTTTTTAATTGTAATCGAATTTCTGGAAATTTTTATTAATAAAGCTTCTTGCCCTCCTCTGCACAGAGGATGCATTCACCCGAGGAAAGACCTAAGTAAACAGTATTTAATCAAATCATGGAACTGTAATGGAGTGAGACTCACTTTGGTCTATGTTTATCTCTGTCTTGTTTACTTCTTTTTCCCTTACAATAGACCCGATATTTGATTGGCTGTATATAAACTCCATTGTATGTACACTTTATTTTGGAGAAAGTACATATTTTTATTGATTATCAACCCCAGAAATTATCGCTTATCCTTCTGTTGATCAAATATTACTTATTGCTTAAATGAAGCCCCAGAAAATTTTAGTCCCTGGCCACTTTTTAATGTCTAAATTTTATTTGTGCCTCCTGTAGGTTTTCTGGTTATGGGATTTGGTCCAAGTTACTCCTATGTCCTCATTAGAGTGCTATATGGTAGGAAATGGAGTGATGGAGAAGCTTCAACTGCCCTCGGTTATTATTGCTTCTATGTCATTGTTCTGGCTATGAATGGTTAGTAGTTCATTATGTCCTTCATTCTATTGATGGAATTATTACAGATAATGATAGTTTATTGATTTTGTGTTGATCCACGCTCATGTTTCCACTTTTCATTCCTCTAGCTCTAGTTATCCGGTTTTTAGGATTTAGGTTATTTTATTATGGAAATCTGAGCTATTGACATACAACTGATCGCATGTCCAAGATGATTCTAGAGCTTAATTGCTAAAATGTTGGACAGTACTCCATAAAGTAATGATCTAGACTATTTTATTATGGAAATCTGAGATATTGATCTATCACTTATAGTGGATCAGAGATAATTCTAGATCTCAATTTTGTGAAAAATGGTAAGTGTTGGCTATACTCCATACTTTTTGGCATGTAGACATGTTTAAAAAAAAAGTTAGAAATAGAAACAAATTTAAGTTTAAAAGAGGAGATGGAGTAAATAGTACAAAACAATCCTTTAGCAGTCTATTGCTCCAGCATACATCTTCTCCAAACTTGATTTTGTCACCAGAACACTTCATAGCTGGAATGTGATTGATTTTCCACAACTAGATGAAGTCTCTTGTGGGCAACATTTATGCATATATATATTTATTTATTTATTTATCACAAATACTAACCGATGTAATCCTACAACCAGAAAGCAAGGACTTTAAGGAGCTTAAATAAATTAGTAGCATATTAGTATATTAAATTCTTCTGACATCATATTTTCTTTTTCTTCTTTTTTTCTTTCCTGTGCTGATGCATATCTGATATTGGTGCCTGATCAGATGATGTTTTCCAAACAGAGTAAGATTCCATTTATTTGATTTTGCTTCAGGAACATCTGAAGCATTTCTACATGCGGTGGCAACCGAGAGCCAACTCAAGAGCTCAAATGATTTCTTGCTCATTTCCTCTGGGATTTATGTAGGACTGAACGTCCTGCTTATACGCTTGGCTGGTGCAAATGGGTTAATTGCTGCTAATTCATTAAGTATCCTTCTCATTAGACATTCTTTCAGGATTCCATTCATTAAATCTACAATGATAATTTGATTTTTTATGGGTACTAATTTACTTGCTGATATCACCTTTGTATTTATTGTGTCATGTTCACATGATTACTTTGTCTCTTTTTGACAGGCTTTGAGATCGCAAAGTAAACAACAATGAATATTTTTATTTTTTTCACAAAAATAAATCAACAAATTGATTTTTATCTTCTCCACCTTTATCTCTTTTATCTTGTGAGGAAGTCTGAGGATGGGTTAGAGCTATCCTTCATTGCACTGCTATTCTCATCGCTCATATAGCAAGGGTAGGGGCCTTAGACCAGAATTTTGGTGGGTCCAATCTTATATGCTCAGTCTGGTTGTGTTATCTTGACTTTTTCTTTGTTTCAGGAAATATATGGCAGGCAGTTGATTGAAGAGCATAAATTGACTGACTAGGATACTTGTCATAGTTCTGGATAGTGGACTTATCACTTCTTGTCTTATTCTGAGTTCTATTGGAAATAGAGAAAAACCCAGTCACTATTCCATCTTTTTAACCTATGTCTAGATAGATAAAAAAATTAATCTACCTTATTCTTCTCAATTGGAAAATAGCTGCCAGTACCAGTATCTTTGTTAATAATGATCAATTGACTGTACTCTTGACGCAACGGTTGGGTTGCTCCATTGCAACCTGGGTGACCAGGGTTCAAATCTTGGAAACAGCCTCTGTATGTCTATGCGTAAAGCTACACATCTGTCCCTCCCCAGACCCCGCATTGGTGGGAGCCTCGTGCACTGGGCTGCCCTTTGAATAAGTGTACTCTTCTTCTCTCTCTCTCTCTCAAGGTTTGGAGGGGGGTGGTTTGGGAAATGGTGGGCCTTAAACCTCTTACTAATTGCAAGACAACTTGCATGTTGTGGTCTAACTGAACTGACTTGACATTCACATATAGGTGTAAAGAGACTGGGCCGAATGGGCCCTAACAGCCGAATGGGCCCTAACATCCTCTCTTGTAATATCTTTTGTTTTATTCTTAATGGGCCTGTTATTTATTTTTTGTTTTATTTTCTTTATGTAACTACCAAGCTGGCCGCCCACTTAAGGGCATTCTTGTCATCATCAAATTTTTAGATCTTAATAAAATAGGGTTAGAGGAGAATGGAGAATATTTGACTCCTTCTTCTCTTACCTCTTCTTTTCGCCATCCTCTTCTTTTGTACAGCTATTCAGACCTGTTTTCTTCTGCTAATCCCTAAGTTTACTCTTGATATTAGAGGACTGATTCACATCTTGGTATCAGAGCGGGTTTAGTTCCTCTTCCTTTTTTTCCTTCGTTCCTGTACACTCTAAAATCAAGGGAGTGTATGGAGAGATAGGTTCTCTATAGTATAGAGAATCACTTGCCTAGTTGGTAGAGGGTTTGGAGAGTTTAGATCTGGCTGGATTTTGCCAAGAAGTGATGCTGTTCTGTTGCTGCCCGAAACCCTAGCCGACTAGAGATTTTCGAGGTTATCAGGAAAGGTGAAGCTCGGGTGTGGCGCTCTGTGCTTGGAAGGTGTTTGGTGACTACTAAAGGAGGGCGGTTCAGGTTTGGAAGAGTTTGGGTTAGTTTGGTAGGTGCGGCTGCATCTTCTCTCTTCCTCTCATCAGCTGGACGGAGCAAAACCCTAATTTTTTGTTCATATCACCTTCTCTCTGGGAAAGAGAAAATATCCCTTGCCGATGGGTCCCTTGCCCCCATGTCTGGTAAATGTGATATAAAGACCTCTGACACCCTGTTCTTATCTTCTGTCCTTCATGTCTCTAAGCTTAACACAAACCTCTTATCTGTTAGTAGCTTAACAAAGTCCATGAATTGCAGCATAACCTTCTTTCCCACTCATTGTGTTTTTCAGGACCTGCTGTCTCAGAGGATGATTGGGAGTGGCCATGAGGCGAACAGAATATACTTGCTGGACACACCGGATCATGCTTTGGGACCACCTCATGGAGTTGCCTTAGAATCAGTCGTGTCAGAGTCTGTTAACAAAATTTTATTATGTCATTTTCGGTTTGGTCACTTGTCTTTTTCTGCTTTGAGTCATCTATTCCCAGATATGTTTAAAGGGGTGTCTTTATCGAGTCTTTGTGAATCGTGTGAGCTGGAAAAGCATTGTAGACATTCCTATTCAATTAGCAATAAAAAATCACTTTCTCCTTTCCATATTGTTCACTTTGATGTATGGGGGCCATATCACATGCCAACCATGGGAGGCTACAGGTACTTTATCCTTTTTATTGATGATTATTCGCGTTACACTTGGATTATCTCATGAAATCCAGGGATGAAGTACCAGCTATTGTGAAAAAATTTCATGAATTCATCCTCACCCAGTTTAATACTCGTATCAAAGTATTCCGTTCTGACAATGGTAAGGAGTATTTTGAGAGAACCCTCTCCACCTAYCTTGAAACTTTTGGGGTTATTCATCAAAGTTCTTGTTCCTACACTCCACAACAAAACGGGGTGGCGGAAAGAAAGAACAAACATGTGGTTGAGGTTGCCAGATCCCTTTTATTTGCATCCCATGTTCCTATAAAATTTTGAGGGGATGTTGTTCTTACTACTACCTTTCTGATCAACCATATGCCCTCCCGGGTCCTTGGCTTTAAAACTCCTTTTAGTCTTCTCTTACCGGATGAGGATCTCTTTTCCCTTCCTCTCCGTGTGTTTGAGTGCACTTGTTATGTGCATATTCATAGTCACCAAAGGCACAAGTTTGAACCTAAGGCTCATAAGTGTGTGTTTCTGGGATATGCTTCCACACAGAAGGGTTACTGCTGTTTTGATCCAGTTCGTGGCACCCGATTTGTATCTCGGGATGTCACCTTTGCCGAGTTGACTCCCTTCTTTAACATTCCTCCTGAGGGGGAGAAATCTGATGAGCCCTTTGCTATGTCTCCAGCTGTTCCTCTTCCCATCCCTTGTGAGTCAGATCATGGGGTGTCCACTTCTTCCATTGGACCTACCTCTGATATCCCTGCTCCTCCTGCTTCTACTCCTGCTCTCCAAAGGTGGTACCAAAGGCAGAGATTCAGACATGTGCAGGTTGTTTCCAATCCTTCAGAAGAGCATCTTGCCACTCCCATCATTCCTGAGGTAACAGGTCAGCCCTCTACTAACCCATCTCTGACTGTCCCAGATCTTGACCTTCCTATTGCTCTTCGCAAGGGCAAACGGAAGTGTACAACCCATTGTATTTCCAAACACTTATCTTACAACCTTCTCTCCCCTTCCTACTACTCCTTTCTTGCCTCTGTTTCTTCCCATGTGATACCCAGGTCTATATCGGAAGCATTATGTCAAGCTGAATGGAGGGATGCTATGGTGGCTGAACTTGATGCATTGCATAAGAATCATACCTGGGATATTGTGGACTTGCTGGAAGGGAAGGAACCAGTGGGTTGTAAATGGGTGTTTACCATTAAATATCACTCTGATGGCTCTGTTGAGAGGTTTAAGGYTYGGTTGGTTGCTAAGGGCTACACTCAAATGTATGGCATTGACTATCTTGAGACATTTGCTCCTATAGCTAAGATGACCTCAGTCAGGGTTTTCTTTCTCTAGTAGCTACTTTTGACTGGCCCCTACACTAGTTTGTTGTTAAAAATGCCTTATTGAATGGAGACCTGCATGAAGAGGTCTATATGTCTCTACCTCCAAGAGTGTATGGGAAAGAAATGAAAGGCAAGGTGTGTAAACTACACAAATCTATTTATGGTCTCAAACAATCTCCTTGGGCTTGGTTTGAGAGATTTCGGGCTGCTCTTGTCTCCTTTGGCTACATTCAAACACAATCTGATCATACACTGTTCTTGAAGAGAAATGACTCTGGTGACCTTTTTGATTGTTTATGTTGATGATATTGTGGTCACGCGTAATGACATTGAGGAGGCCAGCAAACTAAAAGATTTTCTCAACTCGGAATTTGAAATCAAAGATTTGGGAGATCTTCGGTATTTCTTGGGCATTGAAGTTGCTCGATCTAAGGATGGTATCTTCGTATCTCAGTGCAAATATGTCCTTGATCTTCTTGCTGAAACTAGTAAACTTGGAGCTAAACCCATCTCCACTCCCATTGATCCTAATCATAAACTTTCTGCTATAGATGGTGAACCTTTGTCTGATAAGGGAGTGTTTCAGAGACTGCTTGGGAAGTTGTTATACCTTTGCATGACTCGGCCAGATATTTCCTATGCAGTAAGTGTTATTAGTCAATTTATGCATTCTCCCAGAGATATTCATCTAGCTGCTGTAGAAAGGGTTCTGTGCTACTTGAAAGGTACTCCAGGGAAAGGTATTCTATTTGCTAAGCATGGTCATATGAAGCTGGAAGCCTTTATTGATGCTGATTGGGCAAGATGTATTGATGATAGAAGATCCACCTCTGGTTATTGTGCTCTGGTTGCTGGGAATACTGTGTCTTAGAGGAGTAAGAAACAATCAGTAGTTGCTAGATCCTCAGCTGAAGAAGAATACAGGGCAATGGCTCATGGTGTTTCAGAATTACTATGGCTACGATATCTTCTAGAGGAATTGGGGGTGGACTATGAGAAACCAATGATGCTCTATTGTGACAACCAAGCTGCTATCAACATTGCACATAATCCTGTTCAACATGACAGAACTAAGCACATTGAGGTTGATAGGCATTTCATAAGGGAAGGAGTCTCTTCAGGGGAAGTTTGTTTGCCATTCATCACATCAGAAGAGCAATTGGCTGATATCTTGACCAAGGGAGTTCCAAGAGGGAAGTTGACACCTTATATAAGCAAGCTAGGCATGACTGACATCTATGCTCAGCTTGAGGAGGAGTGTAAAGAGACTAGGCCGAATGGGCCCTAACATCCTCTCTTGTAATATCTTTTATTTTATTCTTAATGGGCCTGCTATTTATTTTTTGTTTTATTTTCTTTATGTAACTGCCAAGCTGGCCGCCTACTTAAGGGCATTCT